ACGCAAAAAAAGAACTTGGCCAATATCCAGCCATCTTGACCGAACAAGCTTGGTCAATAACCCATACATACTTCGATGTTCTTTGTATTACTGACTATTGTTTTCCTCGAAGGCGGTTTAACAGGAGCCCATAACCATGGGCTCCTGCCACACGACGAACTCGCCTCAAAATGACACTATAAAAAGCTAAAACGCTTGTACACTTTCACTGCTACTAATCTCGATCATGAAGACGAAGAATATTAAGATGCCAATTGAATTTATGTGTCCAACAAGGGCGATCAAGATCGCTGATATTCTGGGTTCTATGTGCCGGAGGTGGCGTCTCAATCAAGGCCCCAAGCTGTGTCATAAAGAGGTACTTGTTGCTCGTTCCTTACGCGGGCGTCGCTTTTTCCTCCTCGTAATTACGCTGTCTTCAACTTTTAAAGCTCACTTGCATTTGTTGACGAGACACAATAAAAATTAGCCGCTAAACAACAACTGAGCTTTTTTCCATAACCTCAAAACTCGTTGCTTAACTGCTTTTTTTGTAGTTGATTTATGACCCGAGTCCTAAACACATGCAACTAATATCAGGTAGAGTGTTCGTGAGTTTTATTGAGCAACACAATACTGAAGCACATCAAGCGATATCTTCTCCTCTAATAGAAAACTGCATTTCAGCTTGTGGTGTAACAAATATGATGCTTTTTAGTCGTAGATTCATTATGAGAATTAACATAGCCCCGGGCGCTATGTTACTCCTCCACTCTTTTCGTTAAAAATAAATTGACGGCGTGAGTTCTATCCACTTTACAATTTGACCGATTAGCGTACATGCAGTTTTAGATGCATCAATACTAAAAATAAAGGTTTAATTTCCATTGCTTTAAATTTAACCAAGTCCAGCCGAGTGGTAAATAATCACGAGAAATACATGCACCCCTAGTAGTTATATTGTCTTTTGCAACGGAACGAAAATTTTCAAACTGTGCTATTTCCTTCATGTATGGCGCTTTTTATTGTCTACACTCTTTGAAGTAACCAACAAACAATACCTGCCATTGGATAGTGTATGTCGTCTTTTCTCTGTTCTAATCTCGTGGCCTGATTAATCAAGACAAAAATTCATGCAACGATATATTTATAGAATTCGACGTCTTAATTGACGTTCTTCCGGAGCATGTGTTAAGTTTCAGAGAGCGGCGAGACTTAAAGACAAGCTTTCTAAAAACACACGTCGCCGTGGCTTAATAGGAGAGAAAAACTTTGGAATGG